TTTTTTTGTGAGTGCGACACCATCCTGTGCACACGGGGGCTTCACCAGGCTTCCGTGTAGCGGACATCCACCTCCTTCAGATTAGGAAGTTTGGCCTGTGGGTGATAAGAAGGTACCTGGTCAAATACCAACCAGTCATTCCCCTCAGCAACCATGGGGTAGACAGCCTGATCCTCAGGGCCTGGTGTGTGTGTGGTGTCCCACCACCCACACCCCCTCAATTGTGAGGCTGTGGGCTTTAAAGGCTCTGGAAGGGGCTGGTGACCTTGAAGAGATCACAGGGCAGGTGGCCTCAGAGACATTCTACAGTGGTTGCAGAAAACACAGGACTCTGTGGAATCACAGTTGCTGTGTGAGACTGGACTACACATCTGGCATCCTGAGGCTTGTTTTCTCATGACTGCAGCTAAACTGAGCCCTGTCCTTGGCATCCAGGTGACATTAAGGATTAACCGTGACCTTCTCGGAGAGCCCCGAGCATCTTGTAGTAGACTATATATTCCTAGGTCCCTCCCCAATGTTAAATGAGAACGGGCAGAGTGGGGGAGAGACAGGGAAGCACCAGAAACTGTCCTGGACTCTTACTCCTGGATTCCTCTGCCCTTAAACTGATACTTTTATTAAATTTATTTATTTGAGACAGAGTCTCGAAGTCCAGGCTGGCCTCAAACAGCTATGAAACTAAAGGTGGCCTCCTACTTCTAATCCTTCTGCCTTCAGCTCCGAGTGATGGAATTACAAGCACACATTACTTCATCTGGTCTCTATGGAACTGGGCATGAACACAGGCCTTTGTGCACACCAGGCAAGTGCTCGAGCAACTGAGAACATCTGCAGTCCAACCCACTTGTAAGATCCGTCTCAGCCCCTGCCCTCTGTTCCTGCTGCCAGACTATTCTCTCAACAGCTGGCTTTTGCCTTCTCTGTACAGAGGCATCTGTCTCATTAATGGTCTCCTTCCTGTCCTTACTTCCTGCCGTCCTAACACCACTCACACCCACCAGCCCCATTCAGTAGCACTCGCACTTCCGTGCACACCTATACACACGCAGCATACAAAGGTAGCCTGCTCATTGCCTCTGTCCTGTACCCAACAATTTTAATGGCTTCCCCTGACCAAGCACAAGTTACAAGCTGGGGGCTTGTGGTCATCGGTATAAAGCTGGGGAAACATCTTCAAGCCATGCTTTTCAGTCTAGGAGGCGGCTGTACAGAAAAATAAAGATGTCTAGGTTCTTTTGAAAAAAAAAAAAAAAAAAAAAAAACAGGAAGATGGGCCAGACTACATATTGAACCATGTGGGTTTTCCTGTCTGGCATTTATTGCAAACATCCTTCTTCAAAAGTCAGGTAGTTCCCAGGTGCCCCAGAAGAGGAAACATGGAGGCTGGTCAAAAACTAGCATCATTGGGTTGGTACCATAGCCCTCCGGGGTGTAAAAAATAAGTAAGGGGCTAGTTAGATGGCCCAGCAAGTAAAGGCATTTGCTGTACAAGCCTAGTGACCTGAGTTTGATCCCTGGAACTCACAGAAAGGTGAAAGAGAGAAATCACTACACATAATTGTCATGACCAGCACGCGCGCGCACACACACACACACACACACACACACACACACACACCCCAATAGAGTAATATTTTTTTTTAGAAAAGATACTAGGGGCTAGAGGGATGGCTCAGTGACTGCTGCTCCTCCAGAGACCAGAGTTTGGTTCTTACTACCCATGTCAGGTGGCTCACAACCACCTGTTACTCTAGCTCCAGGGGATCTGATGCCTTCTGAATGCACCCACACATATGTGACTTTCTCTCTCTATCCCCTCTCTCAAAATGAAAAGAAAAATGTGATTTTTCCTCCTAAGCAGCCACTCCTACTCCCCTCTTCCATTTGATTTCACTGGCGCTGTGGCTTTGGAGAACTGAGGCGCAGGACACTGTGAGGGCTCTACTTCTCACACTGCAACGTGCACACGTGCCCCCCAGTATGCTTGTAAGCATGTGTGCAAATGCGCAGCTGGCACGTTCAAGTCCTGGAGGCCACATCTCTTTCAAGCCTGACCAATGCTGAGAGCACTGGTCTTCGGAGGCGTCCTGAGTGTCTGGCTTCATAGTTGAACCCTTTTCGCTCTCACTGACTGTCCTCCCCGTTGACTCCTAAGTTCTGTGCCTTCTGGGACTCATGACCTTTCTGGTCACACATCATGGCAGCTGCTGTTTGGCCTTTGTTCCCTGCCTGGATCAAAGAGCAAGCCCAGCTGTGGGAAGGCCACAGAGGGTGATTGCTAGTGGTTGGAGGGCCACCAGGAGACCCTGGCAAAGGAGGGCCCTGACCAAGGGTTCCAGGGGACCCTCTAACAGTGGCTTCCAGGATGTGGAGGTGTCTCTGGGACCTAAAGCTGGAAGTGCTGAAGGCCTTGCCTCCACCTCTCTAAGAAGTTTTCCCATGTGTTCTGATGGATGAAATGTCCCAGCTGCCACACTCAGAGCCTCCTCCTCTCCCTGCCCAGTTGCAGGCCAGGAGGACCTGCAGCAACCCTGGCCTGCTTCTGCCCTGGCTCCTGCTCCCACAACTAGGTGTTTTAAAGTAGGACCTGGAACCCCACCAAGAGCACCACGGGTATTCTGAAAAAAAAAAAAAATCCAGTCTTCGTGTGACCCAATGAGGACTTATATCAGCGCTCCCACTATCTCACTCCAGCTGTGCTTGCTATGGCCAGGGCCTGCCTGCCTTCTCTGCATACACCTTCCTCTCACCTGGGACACCCCAGGCTTCCTCTTATCCTTTGAATTCAACATATGTGGCCTCCTCTTGGAAGGGATGGTCCTTGGTTTCCCCATGCCATACAGAACCCTGACTGGCTTCCTTTGTCACTCTTCCCTTACTCCTACCCATCTTTGTCTATTCCTGGTGTGCCAGTCCTTGTGCTGGAGAAGCTCCTCTAAGGATGGCCAGGCAGGGGAAGGAGGTAT